ATATAATTATATTATATTTATTATATAATAAACATACATATACAAGCAATTGCTGTAATTTACTTCATAACAGTTTATTCCTGCTTTGTACATCATATAGCATCTTTAAATGTTATTTTTCAGTTATTAAAAACATCGGCTGGCTACGTGTCATTTTTGTTAGCAATGAGCGACATGAAATCATGAAATATTATTAGGCGATACTATCACTCATATATTTTCGAAAACATACAAGTAAAGAATATTAGAATAAATATGTTGTTTCAGTAAAAACAAACCTTTTTTGTTTATTTTTTGTGTAATATAATATTATATAAATAATTTATAGTACATATAATTGGAGGACATAATTAATACTAATACGACTATTTTCTCTTTTTGTTATCAAAGATTATTTCGATAATAAAACAAATTCATTGTATTTTATCAATTTTGGAGACATCATCGTACTAGATATCGCCGGTTTTACAATGTACATACCTTTTTTCTATTATAATTCTGTTATTTCTCTTCACCGCGGTCTTTCCGCGTTATAGAGGTATCAAAAATGCAAATAGCTTCTATCGTGTCTCTCATTATGACCAGCACCACAACTAACGTCACAAAGCATCGTGTACGGTATATAAAAAAACTTTGCACACAAGTTCTACGAGTTGCCGATTGCTAACAGAGCGTACCCTCTTATTAACGTGGACGTCGATATTTTTTGTAACTCATTCTTCTCCATTCGTAAAGTTTTTTCCACAAACCGTTGTTACCGAACTGCGTACAGTAGCAATTACTATTTAATGAGTTCGTCGCGAAAAGCAAAGGGGTTGCACTCGGAACACGAGCTTGCGTAATGATCATCTTTCTCGTCATAATGTGGCGAGTGGGGTGTAAATGTCTTCACAATAACGACATGGACATTTCTGAACGTTCGAGCTATCGAGGTAACAAGCGTACGCGCCACTTTGAGGTTTACCTCACTCTTTTAATCATCTAAAAGTGTGCAGTTATTTAATACGTGTAAATTTGTGTTAAGTTACACGTGAAGTTTATTAATGTCAACATTTTTTCTAGATTTTGTATGGGCGATTGAACTTAATCGATTTGGTCTGGAATTTGTTGGTTTGTGGCCGGCAATTGATAAAACATCTAAAACCAGCTCCGTTTCCGATCTTCGCGTAGTCATTAGTTTTGTTACCGTTACTCTTTTAACCGTAATTCCTCTTATATATTCTCTTGTGCGGGTGTGGGGTGACATGATACTAATTATAGACAATCTTCAACTCACTCTGCCCATGGTTATGATTTCGTTTAAAATTGTCATCATGCGATGGAAACGATCAGGTGAGCAAAATGTATGTAGATGCGGCACACATATCGGCGCATTACCCAATAATATACGGTGCTCATGCTTATTTTTTTGCATTTGTTTCCACGTAAAAAAATAACAAACACATAAAAATATAAAATTTATATTGGGATGTTGCACTTTACCTCAAGACTTCAAGAAAAATATTTTGACATTTTTAGCTGTTACATTTATTGTAAAAATGATAGCGGAAGATTGGATGACAGTTAGAACGGAAGCCGAAAGAAACGTGATGATAAGACAAGCGCGAGTCGCCCGTGTGATAATGATCTGCGGATACTCTTTGATGGGATTCGCGTTCGTCATGCTTATTATTCTTCCTTCATTTGGCATACACTTCAGATACTTGACGAATATCACCGACGGAGTCAGAGAGTTGCCGCTTCAAACGTCGTATTTTTACAAAACCGACAAAAGTCCGCAGTTCGAACTTACGCTCGCCTCTCAAGCCGTGGCGATATTCGTAGGCGGGATAGCTTACACGTCGGTGGACGCGTTCTTCGGACTCGCAATTATTCACATATGCGGTCAGCTGGAGAACTTTCAGCACAGAATGATCACCTTGGTGTCGAATATAAATTTCGACGCCGCTCTGCGTAATAACGTAAAGACTCATCTACGATTGATAAGGTTTCAGTAGATTTTAACAATTAATTAAATAGTAAAATAAATACGTTACGCGCGCTTTTGGTTCCTATATATGTTTTACATGTAACGCAAATGTTTTTAATACATGTATTTTATATATTTATACATACATAGGTTTGCCGGTAACATCGAAGAAACGTTTACTTTATTGACTCTGGGATTGCTAGTTTATTTTGCTATTGTATTTTGTCTATTCGGATTTTTACTGGTTAACGTAAGCAGAAAGAGAAAATATAACACATATTTTGCATTTTATATTTGTATTTCTTCGATATAAATGTATGCAAAACGTGTCTATCTATTTGACAAATAATTTTTCTACTTCTTCTTAACAAATTATAATTTTAGATACTTTCCGGTGCTGAGATAAGCGACATGTCTATTACACGAAAATTTTTTGTACTACTGTGTATCGTTATCTTATTTTCGCACATGCTTCTGTACTGTGCTGCTGGCGAGATGGTAGCAAAGCAAGTAAGTTATTCAACTCATTTCCGTAAACAATGCCAAAATAATGTATTATTGTAATATACGCATTAAGTGCGAAGAAGTGTATCGTACTATATGCAACCTCGAGTGGTACAAATTGGAGTCGAGAAAACGAAGAAATTTTGTTATATTGATGCTTCGTTGCAATAAACCTTTCCACATCACCGCAGGCAAACTATTTCCATTAACGATGTCGACGTTTTGCAGTGTAAGATTTTTTATGAGATTTTTCTTCAAAGTAGATTTTTTTTCTCTTTGTATACGTAAAATATTTTTGAACATTATTTTTCAGTTAGTAAAAACGTCAGCCGGCTATATATCATTTTTACTGGCTAAGAGCGAGTGAAATTATCTGTGTGTGGTGTTACATAATTATTGTTTATTTCCGAAAAAAAAACAAAAGTAGAACAAGGATGACAGGAAGGTAGCTCAGAAGAAATAAAATATTAATAATAAATTTTTGGTAAAATATGTATAATACGTTAATTGATACTTATTATCTTTTACCTTAAATTTCCTCAAGTTTTTCCAAAATTTGTCTAGCATTTTAAAGGAAGCAAAATGGAGTTTGTAGTTTTTTTCGTCTTGTAACGTCGCGATTTAACATCGCGGTTTTTCATTAGAATTTCGTTATTTTTCTCCACGGCGGTCTCTCTCCGCGAAGATATCAAAACTTCAAGTAGCTTCTTCGTATCTCTTATTATGACCAACACAACGCGAACTTCAAAAAAGCATTATGTCCAGCGTGAAAAAAACTTTGTAACGAGCCGACGACATAATGTAACAAAACGTGTTCCCTTTTTGTTAACAAAGCGTCGATATTTTTAAGGATTATATTTAAGATCATTGCTATAACTTTTCTATAAGGTTCTACACAAATGAAATGCTGTATAGCATGAAAATACCTAATAACAAGTTCAACGAGCGATAGATCGTAACATGTTCTTTTTTTATTATAACACGAACCTCTATATTTTTTATGACTTATTCCTCCGTTCGTAAAGTTTTTTTTTCGTTTTTACGAAACTACCAGCTACTATTACCAACTACAAATGGCAGCAATTACTATTTAATGCGCTTGTCGCAACGGAGAAAACAGGGAGGGTATTGCACTCGTGACAAGCATGCGTGATGATCATCCCTCGTGATAGTACGGTATGGGGAGTGTAGTTCGCAAATAGTCTTCAACATGGACATTTCCGTAGAGTCACGTTGCAAAGGTACCGAATATTTTATCGTTTTTTGTTTTCAGCCTGAGTCATCTTTACGTTCATCTTCTCGGTATGACCGTCATATATTTTCTCAAAATCGACTCCTTATAACGATCAAGCAATACGAAAATTATTATTAATATTTTCCTGCACACGTGGATCTTTTAGCGTTTTCAATATTTTTTAAATATTGATACAATTTCCGAAATTTCTTTCTAATTTTCCTCCTCTCTTTTTCTCCTTTTGTGTTCGAACGCTAGATTTTTTGTGGTCGGTCGATTTGAATCGCGTAGGTTTGGAACTAGTCGGTTTATGGCCCGCGAACGATGAAACGGTTAGAAATAGGTTCACTTCCGATCTTCGTCTGGCCATCATTTTCGTTGTAGTGACAATCATCTCAGGCGTTCCTCTCGTTTGCGCTCTCGTACGTGTTTGGGGCGATATGCTACTCATGATAGACAATATACAAATCACATTGCCTCTACTCGTGGTCTCGTTGAAACTCGGTGTCATGCGATGGAAACGACCAGGTAAATATCGATTGGAATTATTCGACGAGAATTTCAAACTTTGCGCGTAAATTTTATCTTGAAAAGTGCGGACATCGTCTCGAAAGGTTTCTTGTAACATTATTTTACTGTTTATACATTTAAAAAGCTCTTTTATCCATCTTAAACATGATGGCGCAAGACTGGATGGAATCAAAGACGACGAAGGAGAGGGACGTGATGATCGAACGAGCGCAGATTGCTCGAACGATTGTTATGAGCGGATACGTTCTAATGATATTGGCGTTCGTGGTGGTCATTGTTCTTCCGTATTTCGGCTTCTCGCTTCGGCGCTTGACGAATCTCACGGATCTGAGCAGACCGTTGCCGCTGCAGACTTATTACTTTTACGACGTGGATAAGAGCCCGCAATTCGAGCTCACGTTCATCGTTCAGGCTGTCACGATTCTCCTGTCCGCCGCGACTTACACGTCCGTGGACGCTTTTCTGGGACTCGCAATCCTTCACTTCTCCGGGCAGTTGGAGATCTTCAAGAACCGCATAGCCGTACTGACATCCTGTCAGAGTTTCATTTGCGCTCTGAGCAACAACGTGGCCAAACATCTACGGCTAATCAAGTAAATGATAATTTTATACATATTTCTGTGTTATTATATATATATATATTATGTGTGTGTATACAACATTAAAAAAATTAATTCCTATAATCGTGAAAAATGCGTTTTGAAAAATTTAGCAGATCGGCAAAATTTTTAATTCTATTTTTTTTTGTTTTTGTTTTTATAGATTCGCTAAGATTATTGAGGATACTTTTACTTTAATGATGCTGAGTTTGGTGCTTTACTTTGCTATTTTATTTTGTCTTCACGGATTCTTATTGCTCACCGTAAGTTGAATTTCTTCCCCTCGATACATTTGATCATAAACATAATTTCTGACAACTGTCGACAAATAATATCATATATGTTTATTTTTATTTACATGCGTTTTTATTCTATTTACAATTAGAATCTCCAAACTTTTTTTATTAAAAAAAATTACAATCACTCGAACTAAAATTAATCTTCAGTTTTTATTTAATTTCGAGCATATTTAGATAATTACCGAAGAAGGTGATGTATCCTTTGCGAGACTATGTTTTCCGATAATTGGTATTACTATTTTGCTCACGCACACTTTCCTTTATTGTAGCGCCGGCGAGATCGTAACGATACAGGTAAGTTAATTTACAAACAACATGCGTATATAAACGTAGATTAGGTATAAGCTCATTGTTCTGTGTGTGCGTTTCAAGTGCGAAAGAGTGTATCGCGCGATGTGCGAGCTGGAATGGTACAAACTGAAATCGAAACACGCGAGAACTCTTATCTTATTAATGATACGCGCCAATCAACCCTTCCGCATCACCGCGGGAAAAATATTCCCGCTCACAATGACCACATTTTGCAGCGTAAGAAATTTATTTTATTTTGATATAACTCTCCTGTTGTGATTTTACGAATATATTTTCGCTCGTAAAGAAACGATTGCAACATACATACAAGTAGTTATTTACTCGTATAAAAATTTATCTCACTTGTCATCATCTTTAAGAAAACGATGATTTTTCAGTTGTTAAAAACGTCGGGTGGTTACATATCGTTCTTGCTGGCGAAGCAAGGATGAGAATTAAAAAAAAAAATTGTAGTATACTATTCACTCCGGTGTAATAAAAATAGTTGTGACATACTTCCAGTGAAATGAAGTACTTAAGCAAATCAAATGTGACGGAGAGATATATTGATAGAAATAAAATGTTTATATTATTAATGGAAATGAAATGATTATATGTAATTTAATTTCGTGTGCACGTAGAGATTTATCTAGTGTTGGCATGTACAAGATGTCTAAAACATTTTGACACAGCCGAAGTGAAGAGATAGATCGGATCAGTCTGAACAGAAAAGTTGTTCGCTATTTTGCAGAAAATTAATATTTATTGAGTTATTAATTAAATAACAAATGTCAAATGGTGAGGGTTGTTCTCAGGTTCAAATGCATAAAATCATATGTGTGTATTAACTGGGTTAGTATGAACCAATGTTGCAGGATGTTGTGCAGTAAAAAAGTTGTGGAAAACTCTGCTGTATTGCGAAGTGCGTGTAATAGTTGCGAGTAGTATAAGTAGCAGTAGTTATTGTATATGATAGTATGTAGAGAAAAGAGAAAATAAACTTACACTGTCTTCGCTAAGAAAATTGTCAGAATTTCCGAATTGAGAAAAAGCGACAATTTTTCCTAAATTTTAGAAACACCAAATAATATTCGCATAAAACGAACGTCGCGCTAAACAAAAATTGAACATTGTATTATCGCATCCCTGTTATTACATCTGTATAATATAACCAATCGTACTTGTTACGACAGCAATAATGCGATATAACAAAACAAAAAAATCTGTAGGTTACAAAAAATTGTCTCTACTCTCTTTCTTCAGTAGCATTCAAAATCGATATGTGTGCGTAAAAATTTAATGAGCGCGACACGCGACAAAAGAGAAGAAGACACTTTATTCTTCTGCTGTTAGGCCAGTTTTTTTACCTTGTTGCAAACACAAAAACGTATACTACCTGCACACACACACACACACACACAAATTATAATAGTCAGAACCCTCCGTTGCGCACGTTGACGATCAAACGCTTTTGAAACTTTTTTTTTCATTATGCACGCACTACATTCCCATCTCCATTTTTCCTCTCTTCTCTCGCTTTACATTAAAAGGTAACAAGACTTCATACTCGCGAGACAGCTCGCAGTTAACAAAGTGCGCTCGTTATGGAAGGTTCAAATAATTTCACGTATCAAAGTGCTTCTTGTTGCAAAGATAAAATTGCTAATAACGTAAGTATATTAACACGATGATAATGAGTACATAGATCAACGCAACGACTTAGTAGCAACATTTTTGCAACAGGCAGATTACGAGTGGGCAGTAAAATTAAATCGATATAGCTTAAATCTGATCGGGCTCTGGCCTACGTCTCGGCAAACTCAGCGAGATAACTTAATATGCAATTTACGTACACTTTTTACTTTCCTTTTAATAATGATAGTCATAACGATTCCCGCTATACATTCAATGATACGGATACGTTCGCATTTTTTAATAGTGATAGATAACATGCAGATTACTTTACCTATAATTTGGGCAGTTTTAAAACTTGTTATCTTTTGGTGGAAGAAACCAGGTAGATATGTAACTTATGTTACAATTTGTACAATTTGTATACTTGTAAGTTACGTGTTAGATTTATATGTGTCTGCAAATCGCACTATAAACAATAAAAGCAAGCGACGAAATAATAAACTCTATCAAAACTTCTTTTTACTCTTCATAACACTGTAATTTTATTATTTCTTTATAAAAATTTATAATTATTACAATTTTTCATGTGTCAAAAAGATGTCAAACTGCTGATAGATATAATCGCGTACGATTGGATGAAAACGAAAACGTCTCATGAGAGAATGATAATGATCTCGAGAGCACAAACTGCGCGAATAATTCTTATATGTGGATACAGCATGTTCGCGATGGGTTTGTTGGCCGTAAATGTTTTACCTATCTTCGGTTACTCAGTAAGATACGTAACAAATATCACCGATCCCGGCAGACTGTTGCCATTGCAGACGTATTACATTTTTGATACAACCAAAAGTCCGCAATACGAGCTAACATTCATTTCTCAAACCATCGCACTGATCTGTTGCAGTATACCCTATTCAAGCATAGACAATTTTCTCAGTCTCTCGATATTCCATATCTCCGGTCAGTTGGATATATTGGAAAACCAACTTGCAAATCTGAATAATAATACGAATTACGTTGTTATTCTAAAAAACTGTATAACAGATCATGTTCGTCTGCTTAGGTACATTGTTTATATCACTTAGCTTTTAATAAAGAATTAAAACAATGTTTACGTATATAATGTATATTTAGAAAATTTTTTTTTTTTAATTTTTTAAAATAAAAATCTCGAGTTTTTCTGTGAATGTTATATTGTAGAGCCATCACTATTATAGAAGATATATTTAATGTAATATTGTTCATGGTGTTCATATACTTCGGTATGATCTTCGTCATTCAAGGTGTTTATATGATGAGTGTAAGTAAAGCATCTATAAGAGGATCTTTTCCATATAATTTTATATAATGATCGTTCTTTGATCAAACTAGCTGCTGAAAGATGGATTTCATCTATCGGGTTCGCAAGTAATATATATTACAACCGTAGTTAGCACAATATTTGGTCATATGTGTGTTTATTGTGCCGTCGGCGAACTTTTGACAGCGCAGGTAAGACAGCCCGATACATATATAATAGTTATTGCATTAATATAATTTTACACAAAGTGTAATGTAATTTTATACGTGTTAAGTGCGGTCGAATTCATGATGCTGCATATTGCAATGAATGGTATAGTCTGCAATTTAAAGATATGCGAAATTTGATTCTTGTAATGGCAAAAACAAACAAGTCTCTCTATCTTACAGCCGGTAAAGTGTTTCCGTTAACAATGAGCACATTTTGCAATGTAAGTCCCTCCTCACCTCTAATTTTATCCGTTATTTTAACAGATATAATATATCTTTTTTTTTATATGCTTTATGTGTTATACATACTGGTTACTTTTTTTTAATAATACATACAGCCTGTTTTTCACACAGTTATTAAAAACATGCGCTGGTTACATCTCCGTATTGTTTACGACAAGAAATTTATAAACGGTTTAACAACAAACAAAATGTTTGTTTTCCATTGTTAAGTGCAGATGTTGTTTTGCTGCATCTTCAGATACGCTTCTCTTTTTAATCTTTGTGTAAGATGTTACTTTATTGAAATAAAACGATAATAAACGTTTTAAATTTTATATTCAATAAATTCTAGATACACTGAAAAAAAGAGAGATAATATTTATTGTCTGTGTCTAATCTGTCGATATGATATTTAATAATAAATCACAATATTACGTAAAACATATTGAAATAAGCTGATATAGTACTTATATAATATTGCACTATCATTTTATCTCACTTATAAAATGACAAAATACTACACGTAAATTGTCTCACTTTGAAAGGTTTACAATCTGTAAGACCGCACGCAACTGGTGCATCATCGATTACGGGTAAGTGCGTGAGAAATAAGAATGACTACATTTTGCAACGTAAGTTTTGCATTGTTACTTCAAGTTTTATTTATAAGTTTTTTATTTATGACTATAAGTTTTTAATCATTTTACTTCACGCATTACCAAAACGAAATTTGTGCTAAACATAAAAATTTGACTTCGTAATATAGCATCACATGTTATTATATCTGTATCGACCGTCTTTCTCACGACAACAATGATACGATATGACAAAACAAAAAAAAAGTCTGTACTCTCTTCCTTCAGTAGCATTCAAAATCGATATGTGTGCGTAAAAATTTAACGAGTGCGACACGCGATAAAAGAAAAGACACTTTATTCTTCTGATGTTGTGCCAGTTTTTTTTTTTTTTTTTTATCTTGTTGCAAACACAAAAACGTACAATAACGCACAACTACGTACTTGCACACACAAAAAAATTATCGTAGTCAGAAAGAACCCTCTGTTGCGCACGTTGACGATCACACGCTTTTGTAACTTTTTTTTTTATTATGCACGCACTACGTCCCTCTTTTATTTGCCCTCTCTTCTCTCACTTTACATTAAAAAGTAACGAGACTTCATACTCGCGAGACAGCTCGCAGTTCACAAAGTGCGCTCGTCATGGAAGGTTCAAATAATTCTGCGTATCAAAGTGGTTCTTGTTGCAAAGATAAAATTGCTATTAACGTAAGTGTATTAACACGATGATGGTGAGTAGACATCAACGCAACGACTTAGCAATGTTTTTGCAACAGGCAGATTATGAGTGGGCAGTAAAATTAAATCGATATAGCTTAAACCTCGTCGGACTCTGGCCTACGTCTCGGCAAACTCAGCGAGATAACTTAATATGCAATTTACGTACACTTTTTACTTTCCTTTTAATAATGATAGTCATAATGATTCCCGCTATACATTCGATAATACGAGTACGTTCGCACTTTTTCATAGTGATAGATAACATGCAGTTTACTTTACCCGTAACTAGTACCGTGTTAAAACTCGTTATCTTTTGGAGGAAGAAACCAGGTAGATATGTAACTTTTATTACGTACAATTTGTACAATTTTTTGTCTGCAAACCACAATCGCACCACACGTCAAAATTGATAAAAGCAAGAGACGAAGTAACAAAATGTCAAAATTTTTTTTTTGATTGTCAATAACACTTTAATTATTATTTGTTTATTATTCAATTTTTTTGTTTATATAAAGATGTCAAAGTACTAATAGATATGATCGCATACGATTGGATGAAGACGAAAACATGTCACGAGAGAATGATAATGATCTCGAGAGCGCAAACTGCGCGGATAATTCATATATGTGGCTACAGCATTTTGATGATGGCTCTATTTGCCACGGGTGTTTTGCCTATTTTCGGTTACTCAATGAGATACATAACAAATATTACCGATCCAGGTAGACCGTTGCCAATGCAGACGTATTACATTTTTGATACAATCAAGAGTCCGCGATATGAGCTAACATACATTTTTCAAACTATTGCTATGATCTGTTGCGGTATGCCTTACATAGGCGTAGACAATTTTCTCAGTCTTCTGATATTTCATATCTCCGGTCAGTTGGATATACTGGAAAATCGTCTTGCAAATCTGAACAATAATACAAATTATGTTGTTATTCTAAAAAACTGTATAATGGATCATGTTCGTCTACTTAGGTACATCGATACATTGTTTACATCACTAGCTTTTAATAAAGAATGAAAACACAGTGTGTTTATACATATATAACGTATATTTAGAAAAGTTTTTTTTAATCTTTTAAAAATAAAAAACTCGAGTGTCTGTAAATGTTATATTGCAGAGCCATCATTATTATAGAAAATATATTTAATATGATATTGTTCGTATTGTTCATATATTTTGGTATGGTCTTCGTCATCCAAGGTGTTTATATGATGAGTGTAAGTAAAGCATAGAAAAAAAATAGAATCTTTTTCACATAGTTTTATATAATAATCGTTCTTTGATCAAAGTAGCTGCTGGAAGATGGGTTTCATCTATCAGTTTCGCAAGTGATGTATATTATAACCATTGTTAGCAATATATTCGGTCATATGTGTATTTATTGCGCCGTCGGTGAATTTTTGACAGCGCAGGTAAGATCGTTTGATACACGTAACGGTTATTGCATTTGTATTACAAGGTGTAATATAATTTTAATACGTGTTAAGTGTGGTCGAATTCATGACGCTGCGTATTGCAATAAATGGTATACTCTGCAATTGAAAGATATGCGGAAATTGATTCTTCTAATGGCGAAAACGAACAAGCCTCTCTATCTTACAGCCGGTAAAGTGTTACCGTTGACACTGACCACATTTTGCAGCGTAAGTTATCTCCAATTTAACAGATATAATATATTATCTTTTATACGTCTCACGTGTTGTACATATATTTGTTGTTTTATTAATAATATATATATATAGTCTCTCTGTCTCCATATAGTTATTAAAAACATCCGCTGGATACATCTCCGTTTTGCTTACCGCCAAAAATTTATAAACCAACAAACGAAATGTTTGTTTTATATCGTGAATTGCGGATGTTGCTTTGCTGAATCTTCAAATACTCTCTCATCTTAATTAATTTTACTGTAAGACGTTACTTTATTGAATAATTATAAACGTTTTAAATTTATATTCAATAAATTCCAGATGCACTGAAGAAAGAGAGAGAAAGATAATATTTATTGTCTGTGTTTAATCTGTCAAGATACGATATGATACTATACAATAAAACCGTACATACGTAAAACATAGAAATAAGCTGATACACTACCTATATATACTATTGCACTATCATTTTATCTCACTTACGAGATGACGCGAAAACTATACTATACGTAAATTGTCTGTGTGTCACTGTGAAAGGTCTATAGCTTGTAAGACCGCACGCAATGTTGCATAATCGATTACGCATAAGTGCGTGAGAGCGTAACAGGTGGTGATACGAGTTGAAAACAGTTTTTAATCCCTGGTTATCGTGCACCTTGTTATAGCCTTGCGCACAATTTCTGAGAGACGGAATTTTTAAAACCCCTCTATGTATGGCACACACATTGTTCACGTCTCACGCTTTGACAAAGTTTCTTTTTCTTTTTTTTTTTTTTTACATTCGTGACACTCCCCGAATAAAAGTTTATCTCGTCTCGTGACAAGGAGAACACGTCAGTCTGTAGATCGCTTTCGACATGGAAGCTTCGAAGTGTTCGAATTTATATCAAGGTGCTTGTCAGAAAAAAAACACGTAATACGATTCAATCGGAATATCTCACGAGATTTATCGAAACATTTTGGAATTAGGAACAGATTTTGAGTGGGCGGTGCAATTGAATCGATATAGTCTAGAATTGATCGGACTTTGGCCCAAGTCGAAGCGAACCAGACGAGAGAAACTTTTGTGTAATTCACGCGCACTTATCACTTTCTTCGCGGCGATATCGATTCTAATTCCTATTGTGCATTCTCTGATAAAGATCCACTCGGACATTATACTGGTGATAGATAATCTGCAGTTCACTCTGCCAATCACCACTTCTGCGGTGAGAATCGTGATTTTCTGGTGGAAGAAAGAAGGTAGATACAATGTTTTTACACGCAAATGTGTCAGTAAGTCATTCGCAGTAAGTACGTTTGCGCGCGATCTAATTCAAACGCTTTACACATCGGTTATATAGTTATTGTTAATTATTATGCGATTATTGTAATTTCGTCTCTCGTTCTTTTTATATTTCTCTTTTCTTAATTACTTTATATACAACAATATAATTGTTTTATTATTTACATTTTTTTCGAAGCTATTACATCACTGACAGATATGATGGCGAACGATTGGAGGAAACCGAGAATATGGCGGGAACGAACGGCAATGATCGCGAGAGCGCAAACTGCGCGCGTAATTACCAAATGCGCGTATTGCATAATGATAGTTACTGTGATTTTCGGGATCGTTATGCCCGCTTACGGCATCTCGTTCAAATTCGATACAAACATCACCGATTCGAACAGACTGCTGCCGTTGCCAGGGTATTATATTTACGACGTAGCGAGAAGTCCGCAATACGAGTTGACGTACATCATGGAAGGTGTCTTTCTGTTTTTGTGTATCGTGGCCTACACCGCCATTGACAATTTTCTCAGTCTCATGGTGTTCCACATCTCCGGTCAATTGGACATTCTGAAGGATCGCGTCACACGTCTAGATCAGATCGCAAATTTTGCCGCCGCTCTGAAGGATTGCGTAATGGATCACACGCGATTACTCAGGTACAGACACGGGGATGTTTAATGTCTTTACTCATGAAGTTGGATATATCTTTCATTAAAAAAATTTTTTTCATTATTTATACATTATTTAAATAGTTTGTACGTCAAAGAACAATCTCCCTATATTTTTGTATTTTATATAAATATAAATACTCTATATATACACACACACAAATACATAAAAAATATATAAAAAAAATTATTTTATAGAGCTATTTCTATTATAGAAGACACATTCAATAAAATACTATTAATTTTGTTTCTATATTTCGGTATTCTCTTCGCTTGTTACGGAGCTTTAATGAGCAACGTAAGTTATTATTCAATTTCGTAAATAAATGTGTATAAATTTATTATATCTTTTTTCTTGGAAAATATTATATCTCTTTTTGATCAAATGTCCAGCTGTTTCAAAATGGAAATCATCTTTCATATTCCGGTTTGGCGTATCTGGTTATTGTTAGCAACGTATTCGGTCACATGTGCGTCTACTGTGCTGTAGGCGAAATTTTAACGGCGCAGGTAAATTTGTAATTTTCAAACTTTCCACATATAAAAAATGTATTTCTCTACAGAAATAATAAAATTATACGTGATGAATTTTTTGTTCATGTACAATATTCTTATATGGTTTTAAAAGTGCGGTAAAATCCATTACGCTGCGTATTATAATAAATGGTATAATCTGGATCCAAAACTTATGCGTAACGTGGTGCTGTTAATGGTCAGAAGCAAGAAGCCTTTTTATTTAAGCGCTGGAAAAGTATTTCCTTTGACGATGGCCACGTTTTGCAACGTAAGTCTTTTATCACTTTATCTATAAGTTACATGTTAATAACATGCTTTTTTTTACTACAATTTTATATCACATTTATATTTAACACACTGTTGTTTAATAAAATTTATCTTACAGCTAGTTAAAACATCAGCTGGATACATATCCGTTTTACTTACAACAAAAAGTTAACCGATAAAATATATTTACAGTGTGTTCAACTTTATTGTTAAAGCATACCTACCTGTTGCGAGATGTTTATAACGTCAGTTACAAATTTCTCTCTAAGAAACCATTTGTTGTTGTGTAGTACGAGTGTTTAAAATGTATCTTAACCGGAACGTGTTTTCCTTCGATTGTATTCTACTGTTGGTAATTATTTTAAAAAAAGATCAGAATTGTGAAAACAATTTCTGCCAGAATTCTATTCAATGTGAATTTTTATTTTAAAATTTTATTGACGTTATTGTGTGTGTAAAAGTTATTGCAGAAAGTTACTGTGTAAAAAATTAAGGTGTAAACTTTGCAAGTGCAGGTAAGTAAATATTTAAAACATATTTATATAACGCTTGGACAAACCAAATTAGTTAAATTCAATAATAATTATATATTTTCGTAATTATTATATAAGAATTACATTAGACTTTTTAAGTTTTCCAAACACAAAAAAATTACTCAAAATGATCTTTAGTGTAGAAAGATGTTTTTCATGTATATATGTAGCGCGTGAAAAATTATTTTTTATAAAAACTTGAGATAAAATAAAAAAAATCCAAGCATGTGTCATCAGTCATAGAGTTTTACATTGTCTCTTCTAGCTTGAACTGGGCGGACAAAATCTCTGGAATCATATTAACTTCATTTTCAACCTTTCCGTATGCGCACCAATCCTTGCAAAAATTGGTTTCGGCAATTTTGTATTGTTTCGCGTCGACAGAACTGGTGCAATCGTACTGCGAATCACCATGATCGTTCTTGTCTATAGACCAGTGCGACGCAATCTCCCTGAATGGTTGCAGGCAGTTCGCGCTCTGGCGTATATTTTCCATTTCCTCGTTACAGAGACGCTCGACCTCCGATAATTTTTGCTTGTAAGCGTCGACGAGAGCGCGTTTGTACGAAACGTAACGCTGCTCGGCTTGCCCGAAGGTGTATGGATTCTGATACTTGGCGAGATTCTTCTCGTATTCGAGTATCGAGAGTTCTCTGATACCTTTCTCCATCGAAATATCCTTAATGGTACCTTTATCAGGTACGATATTTTAATAATGTTTATACGTTAATTTTAAAAAGTGATTACAAATTATTACAAGCGATTGCATTGGTCAATCACCGTGTATTAAATCGGTCGAAAGCGGCGATTCGATGGCGTAAGCGGCGGCCGCGGCTCGCGCAGCTTCGGCCGCTTCTTCAAACACGAGCGCATCGCTTCTTTCGCGCAAGAGCTGGAACTCCTCTCTCTCTTTTCGCCAAAGAGCCATCTCTCTGTTGAGTTCCTCCCGAAGACTCGTCATCTCCGCCCAGAGTCTCTGAGCGCGTTCGCAAAGAACAGATCTGTCAAATAAAATTGATAGCAAATACAAGGACTGTAGCGTGAAAAATGTATAGCAAACAAACGACATTACGCGTATTCCTTTCCGCAACTGACGGATGTTTCTTGATTCGTCAGAAGTGGAGACTGATCGTCCGTTTGGTCGATTTCGCTCGACAATATCTCGGACACGTCGTCTTCGTCCGATGTCTCATTCGCGAGCTCATTTTTCCGATCGACTGCTGCTTGCATGCCATCTCCGTTCGTGCAATTTTCCGAAAATTTGCGTACTTCGCAATTAGGCGACTTTTGTGGCGTGTTACTCGCGATGACGGTCAGTTCCGGCGAAGAAACGCGCTCGTTATCCATCGCAAATTCTCGTCCCGAATTCAATCGAGAAACATTTCTCGACGAGAGAAAGTTTACGTTTGCTGATCTTGGAAAAAAAAACCATAATTGATTTCTCGAGAAATATAAATCGCGCTTCTATTTTGTTTTCGAGAAATGCGCGCACGTTACATCTTACTCTTTTTTTTTTTTCATGACATAAAGATTTGGATTGCAAGAGAAGAAAAAACGTACGTAATGTGTGAAAATCTGAAAATTAAAAATAAAACTGGGATTCACAGAGAAGGACAATTACAGGGAAGGAAAGTTGACATATACATCAAAGTGTGACAGATACGAACAGAAGAAAGGACACACACGTGTAAGACACAAAGTTTGCCGAAACTTTAAAAAAGGAACATTACTTTTATTGCGTGGCGTAATAATATATTTATCTATGTAACGTAAAAATAATTTTTACAATTTAACAACAAAGAATTTGCACATTATGATATTTTCGTCTTATTGTATCATTTCTCTCTCTTTCTCTCTCCTTCATTTCTGCTTAATAATATGTGACTACTTAAAAAAAAAAAAACGTAGTATTTACAGATTAACCCTTAAAAATTTGCGTAGATAGACGATTTGAAGTTTTTGGGAGAAGAAACAGACGCTTTTAATTCAACGCTTAATTCTTATAAAAAACAAAAATTTTTACAAAATTGTTTTTCACACATACGCGCACGAGACTAGCTCATTTTGTATTTCTTTAGAAGAAAAAAATCAAAGGAGAATTATCTACGAGATAGTAGTAGTAAATCGACGCCAGTATTTAAGGATTAATCTTAATAATACAATTGACAATATGAATAATACGAAATGTTTTTCTTTTTTTTTTTGTACGAATTGCAACGACAAGTTGATAATACTTGAGGCTATTCACAGCGTCGACCGTAAAGCTATTTGCTAAAAAAAAAAAAAAAAAAGAAAAAAAAAAAGAAAAAAAATTAGAATTAACAAAGCAGTGCCGAGAAACAGATCGACGTGGCTGAGCTGATCAAAAATCTCGGGATATCATTTATATCTATATACACAAAGTGATAGCCGTCCGAGGCTTGATAAACATTATTTTAAAGAACAATTTATAAATGTTGTCGATTCGCAAGATTACGATCTGCTTGTTTCTCGGATCGACAAACAGAAATATTGCAATGTTCAATTGTTCATTGTATACTTAATTACCGAATTTGGCCTGAATTTTACGAGGATCTGCCTGATTTGTAAATTTTTATGTACAAAAACTTCGATCTCGATGTGATACATAAACAGGCCGCGGTGTGAGATGTCATCATTAATAGCCTACCGTTGTCACAATTAAGATTGGCAGTGATATAAGTATGGCAGTATGATATATATGCAGATAGATTGTAATCGATCTTCTCTCTTTCTCTCAGCGATCTATCTTAAACTATTTAAGCGCGCCTTGTATAATATTTTTTTTTTTTTTTTTCTAATAAGATCGATTAAAATCTAAAATCTAAAATTTACATCATGTACAAAGTGCTCGTGGAGTAATTTCCCCGAGTCAGTCAATTTTTTTTTTTTTTTTTTCTAACGATGTTTGCACCTCATCAACGCGCATAGCGCGCGCACCTTTTACATACCAATTGTACGATCATACTACTGCAAAAAAACGTTCAACGTTAAACAACTCAGCGCACTTTAGCGACTAGACGAATGATAAAATGTTTAAACTTTACTTGTTAAATCGAACACAGATTAAGTACGGACAAGCGTCCGCTTTAAAAGCCTAAACGCTTGAGATTCGGTCGTGTCGGCAGACTCGCTTTCGACTTCTGCTCTCCCATCCAGCTCTTGCTCTTGTAGATACCGCGGAAGAACTTGAACTCGTCCGCGTGTTCCGGATCCTTCATAGATTTGTAATCCTGCGGCGAGCAGAACTCTTTCTGCTCGTTGTAGAACTTTTTGTAACCACCGTGTAACAAGTAGATCTCGGGATAGTGCAGAGCGGGATAATGATCCTTATTCCGCTCGCGGTCGAGTCTACGCAGGACCCTCGACAAATTTGGTCCGCGTTCACGCGAGAACTCACAGTGGAACACCAGGATGTTGCGTTTGTCGGTATCGTCCAAGATTTGGGGAACGACTGCGGTTATGGGATCGAGAAGCTTCTCGGTGATTAGCTCCGTGTTGTAGAGATTTAACGCGCCCTCGATGTGTCCGCCTTGATACTCGTATGGATATCGGCAATCGATGATCTGATAGGAAGCGATGCGATCGCCGAATTCGCCGCGCAACAGCGCCGCCAACGTGCTAGGCGAGATGATCTTCAGGTCCGGATGATGGCCGATGATAATCGGCAACACACACGGTTTGCTGAAGTCGCCGGTGAGATCGGAATCGGTGGCACTGCGATGAACCGCGCGCTTAATCGCGTGCGCTTCCGTCTCGGACAGACTTCGCTGCAACGGGATCTTCGTGCGCGCTAGTATCCTCGTGTTCGAAGATTTGGGAGTGGTATCGCAGAAGCTGTTGCATTTGCGCGATCTCTTCTTGTATATCGACGCGTCGTCCTTCGGCGACTCGTTTGATCGTTTGCTAGATCTGCTGTTAGCCGGCGAATGGAAATAATAATCCAAATGTTCCGCGGGAGACTTTCGCAATCTGTACTGCCTTACTCGCGTCGAGCAATCCGTCGAGGGCGAGCGAAACAGACAGGTGCGAATTCGTGACAACGACGGCGACGACGACGACAACGACGATTCTGACGGCGACGGCGATATAGAGATCTCCTTCTGTTTGCAATTATCGAATCTCTCTCTCATGTAATTCGTCACCCACGGTTTGCCTTCGGTAAGAGATCGAGAGAATTGAGGCGACATCGAGACGTCGTCGAAATCGTTTGCTGACGTCTCGGGCGCGACAATGTTGCCGGACAGCAACTTGGAGATGTCACTAGGCAACTGCGTCTCGTAGTCCATGGTGTCTATGTCGACGAGCTCGCTAAGTAGCCCGTCGTCCATGCTCTCGTATCCCGATGACAGACTACGCAGAAAGGTCGATCCCACGCTGCTTCTCTGCCCGGTCATGGTTTGAGAGGTGACTGAAAGCGGGGACCGAATCATCGGACTGTACTGCGGATTCAGTGTGCGTCGCGACGCTGGAGTACCGACAACCACGGCGGCGTGAAATTGATGCTGCTTCTCCTGCCTGTTGCAGATCACGTCGCAGTTCTCCAGAGGATAGCGTACATTGTTATTGCAGCAAATCTAAAAAGGAGCGATCACATGCAACGATTACATGATAGCGGGTGGTAATAAAAAACCTAAAAAAAAAGACAAAATAGACAAAATAAAAAGATCTCCACGTTTTAATTTACTTAATAAAACAATTTTATTTTTTGTGCCCGATATAAAATAAAACAATGAAAATATTTAAAAAAATATGTATCTTAAGTAGAAAAATGAAGAATGTTCGGCTCGAACGACTCGCAATCAAATCAAAATCGTATTAATGACTCGTGTCGTTATTGAGACGTTTCCGGTATGATCGGTATCAGTCGCAACCGGAAACAAAGGTGGATCGGGAAAATGAGCGAAAGCGCAACATAATCGTCGGAAGCGAAACAACTAGAAAAAGGAGGACAAAACACAAGCAGGTATCCGCGCCGATTTGGTAAGCGCAAGGTGTCGCATATATGAAGAAATCAAAGACCGACGCGGGATAAGGTAAGAAACTACGTGTATATTTTTTCCGCTTGATCGACTGGTCGATATAATCGTCGTCATTAAAATCAATGTTCTTGCACGTGACAAAAAGCAGCTGCACGTGCACGTTTTCCGCACACGAGACGAGAGTTTGTTTCTTCGACTTTTTCTAATCGCGGGGAAACGACTGAATTATTTATCACGAAATGCGTGATACATCCGGAATTGAATATGCATGGAATCGTGTATATAGAAATTCTCTCGTTCGAATATTACACATAGAACGTTCAAGAACATAAATTTCGAAGCTAGGCGTATTGTCATTGTTGATACAAATCTTATACTATCGGAATTTAAAGCAAGCTTTTTAATCAATTTTTCGTCGTTAAATAACTTTTATATATTGCAAGAGAAGGCGTGAGAAGCATTCATGTTAAAATTTGAAAATTCTCAATAAAGTATGTATAAAGTCTCGTACAAAAAAAAAAAAACAAAAAACATTGTTAAAATGGGGTTTAAAATAAACTTACCTACATGTTTCGTATAAAAAAAAATACATGGATATGTGTTGAAATCGATTTATTTCAATGTTGTTAAATACATTAAAATATCACACTTGTATATTGAAATTGTTATCAACACACACATAGAACACAGAGACGTAGAAAAAGAAGAGAGTGAGTGAAAAAGAGAAAATTTTTTATCTACGTAAAGCTTAGATTCTACAATATAGTTGTATGTAATAAATTGTTAAGGTAAATAAATTATATACTATAAGATTTCTCAGTCAATTATTTGCCATCAAAAGTCGAATGTCGGCGATTTTACCAGCAGAAGTACAACATAAGTCTGAGAAGCACTTTCTTACCTTCTGCGGAGTAGATTTGTACAAGTTGGTGGCGCCGCCATTCTCCTTTTCGTGTTCTTCAATTCTAAAACCATCGTGTTTATTTGGACTAATTACACGGTAATTCTCGTCGACTAATAGAGGATAAGTCGTGCCCGTTTTTGCGATATGTGAAAACCTGAAAAAAAAAAAGACAAACGAACGAGACGAATTTAGATAAATTCACTCAGAGACAAGGTAATTGATTTTTTTTTTTATCTCTCGCGCGTTGTTTCATATATAGAGAAAAAAATACACTTATAACATAACCTCACAAAAAAGTTATAATATAACCTCAAAAGTTCGCTAATACTTCCGGTGTGTTAGAAACAGGAAGACATAGGCCGCTAGTAGACTTCTGGGTGAGTATATAGTTTATTTATTTTTTTCTTTTTTTTTGGACGAATTTGCACCTGACTGAGAATTATTTGATCTTTAATAACGATCTGGAAGAGATTGTCTTGCAAAAATCGCGGTATCAGATTGAACTTGTCAATTTTAGTGAGATAATTTATTTTTAATTGGACGATAATTAATTTTTTCTACTAGAGATTACGCAAGTTTACGTCATTTTTTATCATTCTTATTCTAACAATTAAAAGATTGAATACGCAAACGAAAATTTGGCGCGAAAGTTGTTGGCGTCACGCGACGATTCGCATGCGGCCGGCAAGATCGAAGAAGTGTTGCCGCTTGTGTTTTAGCGCGGAAACACGCGTCACGTCGATTCACTTTATTTTTTAATGAAATATGTAATCAAGAAATCTCGTTGGGAAACACACATTTCTATAATTTCTCGATTATAAGCATGTTTTATTCGAGTCACTTTAATGGAATTCTCTGCAATATTCTCTACAAACAGTTCAGATCACTCTATTAACATTTGTAATATTTTTTCGAGTAGTTCGAGTAACAACTACTGCAACATTTATTTTCAATATCGTGTGTCACAAGTTGTTTTACAACAGTCACATAAAGCGTACAATAAAAATAAAAATTCGACGAATATAATAATACAATAAATCGCCTGACGAGAAATAATTCGCGCGAATAATTAGAAAACATCGATCGAGATACGCCACGATATATCGCGAGAAACACTGCACTGTATAAAAAGCACTGTACGTGTATCTAACCAGCAGATGATATTTTTATACCTTATATGCATAAATTTTGTAAAATTTCCGCTATTGCTAGATGTGTCCATCACAACTTTCGACATTTCGATGTCGTCGTGCAAGATGTTCATGTTCTTGCCGAATCTTGACGAAATTTATTATTTTTACAAACTATACGGTCCGACTCCGAAAAACGATTTGTCGCGTTTTCTCCTATTTTTTGTTCTCTTTATTCTCTCTCCTCCAAACCTTACGGAACGAACGCGAAAGTCGGACTGTCCGTTCCGCTAGCATGAGCGGTGCTTTTTATACGAGGACGTAGCACGAAGTGGGGGGACGGTGGCTACCAATGGCGAATCGTAAAAGGGCGCTTCGAAGGGCCTGAGAGAGGTGAAGGAAAGTGGGGTATCCTCTTAGGGCGACCGACCACTGTGGGGGGGCCGCGCGCATGCATGACATTTGAATTTCCGTGCGCGCAAGTGCACATATGTGCACGTGTGTTGTACGTTGGGATTCGATCCTCGTTGATCGCGCGCCCTCAATTCACATCTCGTCCTTTTTTCTTCTCGTGCGAAAGGGCGCCGACTCCGGGAGTCTCTCTTTCGATATCGGGCTTGTTCCCGTCTCTTAAGCAATCATCGAACGAAAAATTAACCGGAGAAGATAGCAATTCTAAAATCTCTCTTATAATTGATTTTGTCTTATCGCTTATAACTCTGTTTGTAATTACGCTGGACTACATCTCATAGTTTGCAAATTAATAACGAAGTACGATTCACACACACACACACACATGCGCACGTGCACGTGTCTGTACACAGTACAATATTTCTTAAAAGCTTAGTTGTACACGCACGTATATGACTTAACAAAACTATGGACCGACAAGTAAAATCGACCGTTTTTCTGATGATGATGTTTTTCTATATTACGTTCGCTAACCCTGGACGGTAAGAGAAACATCAGACAAAGTAAAGGCAAATATTCAAAAAGATAAACGAGAAAGGATCCTGTCTCAGAGGATATTGTAACTTTACTTCTTTGTCGAAGTTTGCTGATGGTTCGCTATTGAAGTTTTAAAATTTCACACGATTTATAGTTGTAATGGAACAATTTCTGCTGGGATTTTCCAACTTCCTTTTTTGTATAGATTTTCCAACTTCCTTTTTTATGGTCCTTATTTGATCGCACTCACCTTCGTTTTCTTCTTTGGCAAGAATTTTCACACGGCAAGTGCAATCGCAGATCGCGTTCAGTATCGTCCCTAATTAAAAAAAAAGAGAGAGACTCGAGAGTTTTCCTCGAGAGAAACGAAGAAGGATTTTGTGCCACGGCTTTTCTCTTCTTGACGTTGTGAAAAAAGAGGAATTTCCATTCAACTTGTAGATTCCTGCATGGATTTTCTGGATGATCTATTTCCAAGTAAAAATAACAGTCGATAGAAATACGAAAGAAACAACGAGAATAAGTAATACAAATTCCGAAGGAGAGCCGCAAACCGAATCGTTTCTCGATTCGCGTAATTGCGTCCCGCCTCGGATCCCCCCGAAGTCGATATAGCGCCAGCGGATCCAACGTACTTATTGACTTATATCCCTGGGACACAGAGAATCAGCTGTCGTTTGACTTCATCGTACCCCTAACGTGAATTCCTTTGAGGTAAACGTGAAGGGTGGTTTCTTCGCACGTACGATTGTTCCAGTCGCCAAAAGAAGGAGCGAACGAGAAGGAGGGAGAATTAGACTCTTACTCCTACAATGCGTCGTCGGCTCGAGCCGTCGGCGAAGGGAAATGCACCCCCTCCGATGCGGTCCACGGTGATGGACACGGGGATATGGTAGTGCGGAGCGCGACGTCATGCATTGCGCAAGATTCGCCAAAATGCACGAGGAACCGTACATGTCGGCGCAACATGGGGGTAACTCAGCTGCTTTCTGCCGTGAAACCAGCGAATCGGGGGTCGCAGACCCCCTTGCGGACAGCTGCTAGATCGTACACCTTCGACGTTTTCGCTCCCTCTACATGTGTGCCTCTCTCCCAGTCGTTACGCCGTCGCGGGTACTCACCCTTCGCGCAATTTATTGCACAGAACCCGCGCGTGGAGTAACAGCTTTTTAGCAATCGCTTTCTTGCGTATTGATATCGACATCTGTATATTTATATATATATACATATGTACATATATATTGGAGTGTGTGTATGTGTATACATACACACACACACAAAATAAATTCTCGATGATAATCTCTTAGATCAATATCCTTAAGTTTTAAATGCGTTTATCGCTACGTCGTTATTCTAATGAACTTTTCGTGTATTCAAGTAATTCCAATAAATAATAATTAAGGTTAATTAAATAATAATTAAAAGTATATTAATAATCTTAATTGCTAATTTAATCTAACAGGACTCCTTCATTTCTACACTTTTCACTTCTGAATAAATATTTTCATCGAATTATGTAAATTTTTAAGAATTAAAAAAACAGCCAAGAGCAATCAAGAGGCTGAGTATCGTATCTTCCGCGATGCTATCCCTTCGTTCTTATCACCAGCTGGAGCTCTCGAGGAGAGCAATCGATTTCTCTTTCCGGACTATTGACCCGCGTAACTCGTCGGGAAGGAATGCGCCCCGAGATATCCGGCATACATCTCTCATTTCTCACACGAGAAGGGGAAGGAGAGAGACATTTGACGCGTCAATATGTGCGTGCGACCGTGCGAATACACGTGGGGGTCGTGGTGGCGAAGTACCGGCCAATATCGACTGGTCGCGCGAGACGAGGCGGCGGCGGGCAATGCTTGCCCATCGACTTTGATTTTTCTGTGAGAAAGAGTGCAGATGGCCGTATCTATTGTGAGGGTTGGCGCGTGCCAAGGGTGGTACCCCGGTGGTACCGCACGAGACACGCGGTCTCTGTCTCTCTTTACCCTCGGTCTCTCTCTTCACGTATTTCCTCTCCCCCTCCGCTGCTAAGTGCGCGGACCGTCGTCGCGTTCTTTCGCGCAACGCACACACGCACGCACGCACGCACGCACGCACGCACGCACGCACGCACGCACGCACGTGTATTGTAAAGCTCCGCGCACCATCGTCGACAGGTAGGCGCTGCGGTGCGCGCGTCCTGTGGATCATGGGGTAGTACATGTGCACCGCGTTGCTTCCGATCGATGCACGGCCCGCCGTCGGTAGGAAGCCACTTTTACGTAATACCTGTCACGAGGTTCTCAAACAGATTTTGAAATATTTAAAAACATCTACGAACCGTATAAAAAAAAAAAAAAAAAAAAGAATGAGAGGATCTTGCCTTCGCTTGGTCGTAAATTTGTTTCCGCGCTGAGAACACAAATGTACACGTACATCGATAATAATATATTTGAAGTTTTATGACACTTCTTTTTTTTTTGAACACTTTTTCGCACGCTCTCTCTCTCTCTCTCTCGTTTTCTTTCGTTTGTGGAATGTCGTTCGAAACGACTCGAAACATGAGAATGAACTCAGGTCGTTTTTGTATTTGGTTAGATCAATGAATGTTAAATATCGAAGTTAATTCGATATTGACAAACTTGCCGGGAAAGTTTTGTTCCGCAAACGGTTAACAACACGCGGCCGAAGAACCGCTGCCGAATGATGACCCGGTAACAGTAAGTTACAGACGTCGGGGAACCGACGTCTTTGCAGCTTCCTAAACGGGATCATCATCTGTTTCTTCCGTACGTGTCTCACCCCCCGGCAGATTACACTATTCTTCTGACGTACACGCAGCCGCTGCATCGCAGATGTAACGCATAAGTAAGCAGAATTCGCATTTACGCACCGTATATACGCACCGGAGCGAGACGGAGCGAGAGATGGGGAAGAGACATTCGAGAGGAGGAAAAAATTTCAACCCCTAGCGGGAAGAGAAAGAGAGAGAGAGAGAACAGTAAGACACAGATAGAAACGAAGAAAAAAGAAAAGAGAGAGGTTACCCCACTTCTCTCCTGAAAGAGGTCTTCAAGTAAATTTTCGATAGATGTCC